AGCCCCCTCCAACCAAAAAAATAATATAAAAAAATCGGCCAAATTCAAACCCCACCCCGATTTCATATTGTACGCTCAGTGCGCAATACTAAATTCTTCGCGTGGGCATCCGTCAATCCCTTTCCTTCATGAACAGTATCAACCGCTCTTGGTCAAGTCACGGTTGCTTATACTTTCATGTCGTCATTATCCTTTCTTTGATGGTAGACACAGCACAAATCGTTGAATCTACACTCGTTCGTCACACTTGGGTGATTGATAAGTTGACGTATGGATATTACTGCCGCGGTATGCTCTTCGATTGTACACACGAAAATGCCCATATGTCCATCCAAAGCAATCTCCAGAGCGAAATGAAAGCATGCCGAGCAAGATCAAGGAGAAACTTGAATTTTTGATGGGAGGATGATAGTGAGAATGAAGCAATATCACATCATATTAATACTGGTGGCTCGATCAGTTCGAAAGCAACCTCAATGTAAAATACCCACCTACCAGTCCGAAGCAACCTCGTTCTTGACCCGCATCGGCATGGCTCTCGATGATTGTCATGAAAAAATGGTGCAAGATGGTGCAAGAGAATATAGCCCCGATGCATCAGCAACCTCATTCTTGTCGATCTCGCTTGCTCGTGTCAAAACATTTTGCTTGTCATTGTGTGAAGTTGGGAGGAACCAGTCAAGGGATAAAAGTCAGACGTGGACAACGTTGACTGTTTGGAGACGTTCGACGTCCAAACAAACTCACGCAGCGCCTCGCTTACATGAGTTGCCTTCATTGTTAAGCTTTTCTAAGCAATTTACCTACGTTTAGCGAGTCGCGCATAAATGTCTGTACCGATTTGCGAAACGAACATGAAATTAAGATCATCACAATATGCTATCCAAGCCTAATCCTACCCACTTGCTCTGTTTGTTTAATCCATAATCAGATGGACGAGAGAGAGGCCACGCGCGATCTCTCTCTCTCTCTCTCTCTCTCTCTCTCTCTCTCTCTCTCTCTCTCTCTCTCTCTCTCTCTATCTATCTATCTTTTTCAATTCCTCCAGGCTCAAAGGGTCAAAAATGGAGCCCGCCTCTATTTTTCTTGTCGCCTGTTTAAGCACTCCCTCCTTCACCAACCGAGGATCACTCCTTCCTTCGCTCTCTTTTGTCAGTGTGCTCTCTTGCTCCTCCTTCAATCTCTCTCCCTCTTCATCTTCATCATCATCATCAAACCAGACCCAAGGTACCCTTTCATTCCAGCCCACTCGGCATCGATACAGACTTGTTTTCCTTACTTTCTTCAGGTCCTCTCCTCAGTCTCGATCCATTAAAAAAACCCACCCAGCTCCTATTCCCTCAAAGGACACGAGTAGGAGAGACTACAGAAGGACCCCAAAGGGATAAAATGGTGGCTGTGATAATCAGCAAGTTGTTCACAGTATTTGTACTGTGGTCGGGGAACGTGATCAGGCAGGAAGAGCTCCGTCCGGCCACTCATATTTACACCTATCGGAGGTCTGGCCTGTACTCGCACCACGGTTAGCATTCATCCTCTTTTTCCTTTTGCATTATCATTATCGTCGACTAAATTATTATTTCTTTAGTGAAAAAAAAAATTATTATTTCTTTATCTTTCATTTTTGCCCAAGAATAATAGCCGTATATGCTTGATATGATGGATCAGCTCAGCGATGATCAAATCTTGCCCTTGTCTTCTTTTCATTTCTATGGCCACTCGTATATTTGATTTTGCCCATCCAGCCTCCCCGTCTTCGGCCTCATCCTCCCCTTCACCGGCTCTCTTTTTTTCTTTTTCTTTTTTGGCGTCGGACTTCACCGGCTCTCTGGCTCACTGGGTCATGGACGAGCTCTCGAGGGCTTTGAATGCCAAGAAGATGATGGGGTTCACGGTGGGGCTCACCCACACTAATTTGTTTAACTTCAAAGTTTTCCCATCTCCACAGCTGCCCATCCGGCCTCCTCGTCCTCGTCCTCGGCCTCTTCCTACCATTCACCGGCTCCCTTTTTTTTGGGGATTGTCGGACTTCATGGGCTCTCTGGCTCACTAGGTCATCGACGAGCTCTCGAGGACTTTGGATGCCAAGATGATGATGGGGTTCACGGTGGGGCTCAACCACACTTATTTGTTTAACTTCTGAGTTTTTCAATCGCCACAGCTCCCCATCCAGCCTCCCCGTCCTCGGCCTCGTCCTCGCCTTTACCGGCTCTCTGACTCACGGGTCCTCCACGAGCTCGTCGAGGACTTTGAACGCTAGAAGCTGATGACGTTCTCGGTGAGGCTTACCCATACTAATTTATTTTGCCTCTGTTGTGGGAGCAGCTCATTCCTTCAGCATTTGTCCATCCCCCTTCCCCCCTCCCTCTCTCTATGCTAGAAAAAAAAAAAAGTGGTGAGATGAGAAGCCAACCTCCCCCAGACAATACGAAGTATTGATATCAAATGATAGAAAATTATCCCATTTACATGGTTTTTCTCCTATTTGTTTTCTTCTTCCTCAACATCTTTCCTCGTTCAGTCCTCTCTCTCTCTCTCTCTCTCTCTCTCTCTCTCTCTCTCTCTCTCTCTATCTCTCTCTCTCTCTCTCTCTCTCAATATTCTTCTTCACATTTCCTGAAAGGTCGAAATTGGTCGGTATAAACACGTACCTCAGTTAAATCACGTAAAACATTGAAACTTCGTGATTCGTCGTCATGGAAGTTTATTCTCTATTAGTCTTTGATTCTCCAACACAAAGACTAATATATTACGATTCACTTAGACAATCCTCTCTCTGTCATCTACCCACATCTATTCACTTCTCATTCCCTATTAATAAGTTGATTATGCGGTTACTATTTGCTATGGGTGATTTGGACAATCGATTCATTTTATTCATTGCACGTCCTCACTATCGATCCTAATAGGAATCTACGTTGGAGGGGGCATTGTCATTCACTTCACAAGAACAGGAGTCGAAAATACTTCTCTCGATTCTTTCCAGCAAGAAGGTGAGAAGTTCCATTCCCTCCGCTCATATGCGTATGGACGGCCACTGCTAGAGTATTGGCTGACTAGACCGGGGACCCGCACAACCTTGCTTGATACCAAATCGCCCAAGGAAGTCGTAAGCAGGGCTTGGGAGCTTCACGAGGGAGACAGTTTCGGCGAATACAATCTCTTCCATAACAACTGTGAGCACTTCGCCACGTTTTGCACGACCGGCGTTCGAGTAAGCGCACAGACAGCATTGATCGGCGCTTTTGTGCTGAAGGTCAAGGTAGTCCAAGACTGGGCAATCAAGATTTTGCAGGGAATTGAGCTCGAGTGAGCCAAGAACCCGTCCAACTTGCCATCCCCCATCTGTCTCTTTGCTAGCAATTATTATCGTCTTTTGGAGAGAGTTATTATTTGTCAACGGGCAGCAAAAGGGAAAGAGAGTTTAATCTTTCATGTCCAATTTAACAAACAGTGAGATTACACTTTGTTACACACGTATATTGAAACAGCGATCACTCCCTCTCTCCCTCTCTCTCTTAGTGTTGACAATATTTTCATTTGTTCCTCTTCATTTATGATTTTTATTCTTGCAGCACATTAAACGCTTTACGCCGTCCCAGCATGAAATGACGATGAGACCCTTTTACCGCATTTGATGAGGTTCGAATTGGGTCTTTCCTGGGAAAGTGATGGCGATGGGGACACATGAGCCCCACACGACAAAACAAGACATATCTATGATTGGGCTTTTTGAGACTTTCCCGTCGCTCGTGGACAGTTAGGGACATGTCCAGCGCACGTGCTGGGGATCTTAATTGTTAACGACACGAGGAACATTCCACCAAATCAGACCTTGACCGCCGATATTTAATGATGTCCGGTCCCTTTAGGATGTCCTTTGCTGTTTTAATTTTTTTATTTCGAGGTTTGAGTATTTGGAATCTCTAAACACGTAAAGAACGTTCTAAAATAATAATGGCCTTTCAAACCCAGCTTGCCTTACCGTGTGGTCAAGGCGACACCCGCAGGAACTGTTGGCGGGTTTGGGTGGCAACTCGGGCACGGAAAGCAAACTTGATTGTTGGGTAGGCTAGAGCCGCTCGACAAAATTCTTAAGCTCGGAGAACCGGGCTGCTTTCGGCCAAATCGTGATGGCAAGGGCTTTCTCTTTCTCTCTATCTCACACACCTCCATACACACAATCAACATGGGGCACATTTTGAACTTAAGGCATGTATGTGTCAGTCCAACTTGTGCCAACAAGCATATCCATTGGCCAAGCTAGTTCATAGGGTGCAGAAGACTAATCTGCAATGAGCGGAGGTGATGAATAAAGAATTACTGACCGTGTCCGGGAAAGATGGCCGAGTTGGGATCAATCGTCTAAGAAACAGTGTTTTCTATCAGCTGCAACTAATTCTTTCCAGGGTTACCACGACTTCATTCATCGATGGCCTGTGCTTGGGCGAATAGCGGAGACATTGGAATGCGAGCGCGGCTTCGTAAAGAGCATACTTCAGAGGATATTGCCCTTCCAGTCGAGAGTCCATGCATGATTCTAGTCAATTTCCTTTTAGAAAGATCAGGTTAGACCCCCTCCACCAAAATCTGCTAATCAGTCCGACGATTTACATCATGTGCTCGCATTCCCGCCAGAAGCTCAACCAGTACCATCTTGAAGCTATAGACATCGCTCTTCACACATAAATAACCTGTTAAACCAGAATGATGTGATAATCTAGCATGAATTTGCAAAACGTGGCTTCAGCCATGGTCAAACTTAAGTCCAGAGTGCTATGTTCTCTGCTATGATCACCCCAAGCAATTCAGAAAGCCCATCGTATTACCTGTGGCTATATACTCGGGTGCTGGCGCAGTCATAAGTTCCAATAACCTGTGTTGTCACATGTGATCTGTCTTCGTCTGGACCCTTTCTGGCCAAACCAAAATCTGATATTTTGGCATTATAGGACTGTCAAAACACATGCCAAACAAAAGGTCAAAGTGGATAGGGTCTCTTTTCTACTGCTAGCGTAATCTATACACCAGTAAACTTGGACAATGCAGATTTAATAAGCTTACCTCGGGCTAATGACTGGTATTATAAACTACCTATGAAAAGAGTAGCTTGGGAATATGCAATTTAGACAACCATAACAACAAAGCCCCCTGACCAAAATGTAAGGAAATCATACTCGAGTGGCGAACCAGGTTTTGAAGATGCTTTGCAATGATAACTCCCATACTATATGTGAAAACCTGGCCAGAATAAAAGCCTGAAAGCATAAGGTTTCAAATTCTTGCTGCTTCCAGAATGCAGGAGGGAATTGCAAAAGGAGGAATGATGCAAACTTATGTGAGTTATTTCAGCACAGGACAAGATTTTGGAACCAAATTTTAAAGGTAACAACAATGTGGTATTGCTTAATTTAATCTAAGTAACGAACATGAAACTTACTGAGTCAGCAATATGTTTGAGGGCTTCAAATCTCTGCAGATTATTTGCCTGTCTAACTGGTGCAAGAACATGAGACCTTTGGCTGCTCCTATTGCAATTTTAATCCGTGTGACCCATGGAAATGGTTTAATGGCCGAGCCCCCCTGCAGCAGGAAAGACACATAATTTGTGTAGTACATTGAAACAAGAAAAGATCATCTTTGCCATAAATTTAAGGCAAGCATGTATATATCGCCCAAGAAAGAACCTTACTTCCAAAGAGATGGTTCTTTAGGGTACCCTTTGGGAAGAACTCACGGACAAGAAGTAGTTATTTATCCTTCAAACAGTATCCCATTAGCATGACAATGTTTGGATGAGATAAGCTGTGCAGGGAGTTCACCACCGATTGTAAAAAGTCATCACTCTCATATCAAAATAACCTCATAATTTCACATTTTTTTAGTATACGAAGCAAACAGGAATCCCCCGCAGAAAAAGAGAGGAGACAGAACGACCAATTGTGTGATGAGAAATTAAAGAAACCCACAATGGCACCCTAAGAGCCATCTACCATGGATGCACCCATCAAATTTTAGATGGTAGCAAATAATCTGAAATAAAAACTGGGATGAAATATTCAATGAAGCATCATCACCCATGTTCAATAGTAAATCCTGACAAGTGAACCGCATGGTTGAATTTCATATGCCTTACTGTAAATACACAACCTCATATTCATGTAAACCGAGGAGTAAGCAAATCTTAAGTGCTCAACCTAGTTATAAAGCAAGTAAACATCCCTCGCATGATTTTGACATCGGCAAAGCCAATAGAGGATAAGATTGATGACTGTATGGGTGACCATGTAGGTCTCAAACACAAAATCATTCAAGCTCTGATATGCAACATGAGAAAATAATGCACTCATCTTGTGTAGTACAAAGTAGATGTCCACCTTAACAATAGCATCTTGAGTGATGATCAATTTTGAAAAATTCAAATGCTGAATAGATTTATGCGGAAGCTAAGTCCTTCCCTCTCATCTTTTCCCTTTTAAAAGACTTGTATGCTAATAACATGTTGACCTCCATTTACCAGATGATTCATGAAAAAGAAAATGGCATAATCTTATTCAAACAAATATGTCACCTCACTTTCAAGGCCGGCCAGCATATTTTTCCACAAATAAAATATCCTCACTGAGGATGGTTTTAGTTCCTAGAACTACACCGAGAAATTCAGAAGTGGCTAATGTCGTAAAACTTATATTGGGATTTAATGTTTCAGGTACATTGTAGTGACATCCTTTGAGTTTAGCTTAAAAGGCAAGGAGTCACAATAGTTTCTGATGCAGGGCCTAAAGTCCTTTTGTGAAATGCAAGAAGAGTCCCTACAATTCAAAATTTACAAGCTTTCACAAGACTTTTACCATAATATATATAAACAATGAAGATTCAGAAGACGTTTCTACACCAGCTCTCAAGAACCTTAGAGATAGAAGCTAAGCAGGCAAAACTTCTCTCCTCCTACTTGTTTCCTCCACTTCCGTGCTGTTTGGCTGCTGGAAAACAGACATGCATGTAATATGCACTACCCAACTTAGATATAATAACTATAAGACAAGATTGTGGAATCTCAAGATTAGATCAAGAGCACAGGTGCTCACTTGAGGTATCTATAGATCAAATGGTCCTAGGAATTACAGCAGCTTGCCTTCTCATCCACACACCCCGAGACGGCCACTCAAATGTGCTTTTCAAAACAGATATGCCTTAACCATTTGTGTCTCATCACTTTACATCCTGACAACCTGTTCAGCAAATTGGTGAAAACAGCTCTTCTCGAAATTCTTTGACTATTTGAATCTCCAATGGTACATGCACATGGAAACTTATATGAGCCATGTATTTCACCCAGCACTGTGCCTGCTGTTTTGATTTTGAACAGAGATAAAATAAACACCAGAAAATTGACGGCACCAGGCATAGGATAGGCAAATTTTTACTCTTCTATTGCATGTCTGGAAAATACTTGCACTAACCCCAGAAGTCCTTGAAAACAGAATCTCACAAGATTTTTTTAATGTTTTATGAGGACTTGAACCATACAATGGAAAAGCAAGCTGACTTTTCTGCAAGCTCTTGCATAAAATTGCTGGACGCTCGTGGTCATAGGACAAGTCAGGGACCTCAAAATAAAAAATAAGAGGAGCAAGGACTGTCTTCTCCTAAAAAATTGGAAACCTGACAGTCCACATCATTGATCAAACCCCCAGAAATATGTGTTCGGTTGGGCAACGACATATTCAAAAGGAAGAAAGCAAATTGAGATAGTGAGCTTCATATGAAATTAGCCACACAAAACCAGAACAATCTAGCGACAAAAAAGGCCACTAACATCTAGCATCTCATTCTCATTTTTCTACAACAAATTATGTACCTGAACACAATTCTTCCCCACCATCATAATAGAGCTTCTTGCTAAAAATGCAACAGTGATTAACATTAAATACTGCAAAGAACATTCAACCCGAGCTTTCCTGAGAGGAACTAAGCTTACCTTCCCTCTTTGAATCCTTGCATGCTCTATGGGTTCAATTTTTTTATTGCAATTGGAGTGATTCTTTTGCTCTGGGAAGACCCATTCTCATCAAGGTAGCCTGTGAAGACTACCAAAACCACCCTTGCCAAAAATTGTATCAGATCTGTAGCTTCTTGTTGCAACTTTCAGCTCTACAAAACTAAAGACTCTGACTCCTGAAGTGAGGCAACATAACCATTTGGAATAGACTCATTCGACCTCCCTCCCAAGCTCCTGCTCAGATCATCCTCAGAAGACAATGAACTAAACAGTCACGGCTGGTCCTCCTGTGACTACACAAGTGAAGAGAAAAAGGTGAAGAATTTGCCATGAGCTGAAGACAGGAGATAGAGACGAGAAGGAATTAATTGAGTTATAGAGACGTCAGCGGGTGGGAAAAGAGCTGGTTAGCGAAGTTAGAATCTGAAGTTGTAGTGGACATGTGGATGAAGCATATTCCTTCATAATCCGCTTTGTCTGTAAGTTGGGGCTTGCATGAATTTCAGGATAACAGAAGGGCAATAACTAGTATGACACGCAGAATATCTATAAGATGTATAGTTGGGATTCCAGCTCTTGCATTGAAACTCCGAACACAGTGTTAAACAGCCCTTTATCCCGAACGATCAAACTGTTGGGACTGAATCCATCTTCTATACCAAACATGTTCCATAAGTACGCCATGACCAACATGTTACCTTCTCGTGACAAATGCCTTCTTCTTCTCCTCGTCCATAACCACTCTCTCAATCATATTATTCTCATTTCTCGTCTCAATTTCTTTCTAATTTTATTTTGCCTCAATATTCCAGCTAAAGCATCAAAACTTAATTGATTGAACCAATGAAATGCCCAAACCAAATGCGAAGGGTAACAAAGTCCAACTACAGGAATCCATTGGGGGAAATGGGATATGTTGACAACCAGGAAAACTGAGGGCGGTTTAGGCTTTAAAGATCTTGTTGCCTTCAACAAGGCAATGCTCGGGAGACAGGCATGGCGCTTGACACAGGCACCTACTGCCCTGTGGAGTCAGCTGGTAAAAGGAGTCTACTACCCACGAGGAGGGTTTTGGAAGGGAGGTGATTGAGCCTGAAGTGAGATCAACAGTGGGAGATGGAAAAAAGGTCAAAATTAGGGAAGACAAATGGCTATCCATAGGCAAAATTGGTGGTCTGGCAAGCTAAAATGATCCCCATCTCGTTTTTTTTTTTTTTTGGGACCAAAATCGCCATCTCGTTGAGGAGCTGATAAATCAGGAAACTAAGGAATGGAAAATCAAGAAGCTAACAGAGCTTTTTGATGAGGATGTGGTGCAAGCGATACTTTCAGTCCCACTCAGCCATAATCCCATGACTGACAAGCTAATTTGGACCGGAAAATTCGTGTTCCCACTCGGTTAAAAGTGGCTACAACAAAATCTTGGTCCCAGGACAAGAAATCAAACGCCCACCAGGCATCGTCATCATATCAGCCCCCCCAGAACACTATGGACCACAATATGGCAGGCTCATTCGTACCCGAAGGTTCGGTCCTTCCTATGGAGCGTACGCAACGATGCACTTCCAACTAAGGAAGACCATTATAGAAGTGGAATGGTAGGTACCTGACCCGCTTTGCCCGGAACGCCGAAAAGCCCCAGAATCTCGTGAGCACCTCCTCCTCCTCCTCCTCCTCCTCCTTCGCGACTGGACAATTCTCGCCGGTACACTACGGTCGATCCGGAACAGTAAAACCGAAACCCAGCCACATATATATAGAGTCGAGGAAGCGTTCAATTCACAGATGCTCTTCGAGAAACGGAATCGCAGCACGGGGAAGCGTACGGGACAAGACAACTCACCCTCCCGACCGCTGGATCCCGCCGCCTGTGGGTTCTTGGATGTTGGAGCTGTCGCCGGAGGCTTGCGGAGAGGCTTCCCGAGGGCTCGGGCTCCAACATCGATGGTTTCGCCAAGGAAGTCAACGCTCCTTCGGCCCCCCCGCCGTCGTTCGTGGAGAAAAGGCAAGTGAGCCGAGGAAGCAGGGGAACTGATCTGTGGTCGGATCACCAGGTGATATGCACGCGGGTGTTGATCAAGCTCTGATAGCTTATCAACCTGGTCTTATGTTCTGGGCCAGGCCGAAAGCCCATGGGCTAGGCTAGACGTTCCATTGTGATGGACGGTTGGATTTGTTGAGGGGAAAATGACACAAACAATCCCTGAACTTTGACTCAATATGCAATTTAGTCCATGAAATTTTAATTTGTTCAATGTAGTCTATGAACTTTAGCCTAATGTTCAATTTGATCCCCAAACTTTTAATTTATTCAATGTGGTCCATCAACTTTTAGTATATGTTCAATTTAGTCCCTGAACTATTTGAAAATATTCAATGTAGTCCTTTAATTAATTCAAGTTCAAGGACTACATTAAACATTTTCATATAGTTTAGGGACTAAATTGAATAAGTACTAAAAGTCCAGGAACCACATTGAACAGATTAAAAGTTCTTGGACCAAATTTAACATTAAGCTAAAATTCAATTACTACATTGAACAAATTAAAAGTTTATGGACCAAATTACACATTGGACCAAAGTTAAAAAATTATTTGTGTCATTATCCATTTTTCGAATAAGAGGGACCAGAGGCAGGTGTGGGAGAGGACCGGTGGGAGAAGGAGAGAGAAAAGCGATAGGGAGAGAAGGATAGAGAGACGTTATCGTTGCAGAGAGCGAGCTTAGAGAGAGGGTAACAAAGAAGAGAAAAAATCTAACAAGTGAGTCTATTATAGACACGTGGCAATCAATGAGTAGAGTGCAAGTGCATACATGACCTCCATGGCAAGGCATGCCTACTAACCAATAGTTTCTCGTATTTGATGATGTTCAGACCCATCCGGATGTTCTTTTTAGTTACAAATCCCCGAGTAGGTAAACATTGTTCTAAAATAATTTCGTTAATATTTTGCAATGTATGTATCATTTTCATTTCGATGGCTGGTTCATAATAATATAGTCACTTATTTAGTTAGCCCTACGAGAACATGGAAGGTAGAACTTGTCCCGAGAGGTTTATGATGGGGCAGCAATTATTTTCGTGACCAAAGGTCACGCGTTTTTTTCAATCCGGCCTCGTAAATGCAGCTTGCCCTATCGTGTGATTAAGGCGTCAGCTGCAGAATTGTTGGGCCGTTTTGGGTCGTCACTTGGGCATCAAGAGTAAACTTGAGCATTGAGCAGGCTTGGGCTGCTCAGCAAAATTCTTAAGCTCGAAGAGCATGGCCGATTTCGGCCGAACCATGGTGGCTCCGGCTTACTCTCTCTCTCTCACACACCCACACACACAATCAACATGGGCGACTTGGAACTTTTGGCATGGACGGGTCAGTCCTTTTAGAATATCTCATATCATTTAACAAAGGGTTTGTGTTCTTTATATACACGTGGTCTCCCTTCACCTATTAGTTTAAACTTTTATGTTGGATTTCTAACATAGTATCAGAGCTTAGGGGCAGCACCCCTGTTAGTCAAATTTCATATGTCACTCCTAATCCAGCTTCATGCAAAAAGGGGTGGATTCATATGTTCTTTATACATGTGGTCTCCCTGAGTTAGACTTTCTAACAAGTCCAACGTAAGCTGACAAGCACATAAGCAAACCTAGTTCACACCCAAGTTTTTTGCGGCCCAATTGACACACGACTAATTAACTATGAAAGTGAGAAATGCAACAGACACAACAAAAGTGCGAACGATTCCCATCAAATCTATATACATTAATTATTTTTGGCTCTACAGCTCAGCTACCTTCCCTGCTGCAATAACTGTCTTTCTTTGCTCTATGAAGTTGCAAAATCTATGTATCTCGTTAATAGTATCGCACTACAGTACAAAGCAATTATCGACAAAGTGTGTTGAAGAAACGCCATGCCAAATACATATTGAGAAAAAGACTGCAATGTTTCTCCAAGAATTCAACAATGCCTTGTCTGGACGATTCGGTGACATCCAATTTATTCGCCAACCAATTCACAAAGCCCATCATATATTTAGGTTGCTGCATAGCCATAAGTTCCAATAACCTGTGTCATATGCGATATGTCTTTATCCGGTCCCTTTTCTGCCAAAATCCATGAAATCCCTATATTTGATTTAACTTCATGGGGATCTGATCCATGAGTTTGCACACTTTGCCTTATTATTACATGAAATGGGTGCATGTAGCAGCTGAATTGAGTACAATCATTGAACTAGATGGGCCGCCAGTAAGACCTACATGATCCAATGGATAATATGCTCTACGCTCATGTGTGCCGGGAGTATGCAAGTATTTCTCTTTGAAGTTCTTCTAATTCAATCGAAATTGGGACGTTAATATTAATAAGTAATTTATATGAATTGTGGAGTCTTCTGTAATTATATTTTTATTTGTACCATGCTTGCAATTAATTACTCTCATAAATATATATCATGGAACCCTAATTGAGGTTAGGCTACTATGCAATGTTTATAATGATTGCGTCATGTTTTTTAACAGCCCATGATAGTTATGATGCGACGTCATGATTCAAAGTAGTCAAGGGGCTAAAATGGAAGTTTGGGATTAAAGAGTGAAAATGTTCGGGGATGCTCACGTGCCGCAACTTCTGACTTTTTCATCTGGGATAATCAAAAGTTGGCCATATGTAAACTAGTGTACTTCCTATATCTAATCCATTGGCATCATCATTAAGAGATTCCAAGCAGAAACAGTAAACTTGCTGAAAGCCTATTCTTGTTAGGGTACCTGTTAAATTAACCATCTACGGTCAAAAGCTACTCCGGTCCAAAGGGGAGAAATGAATAGCATATTTAGCAAAAATTGGAGGAGAAATTGGAATATGTTGAGGGAATGATTTGGAAAGAATAATGACCCGAAGATATGAAACTCGGCGGCCATATTTATGCTTATTGTTTGTGTTCATTGCGTAGTCACCGTCACCTTGGTGTCTCTTCCAATCTTCGATTATTTTTCGAATTCGGGAATTCACGCTTACTATCAATTCACACTTTTTTTTTTACCACAATTCACACTTTATTTGATTACCTAGGACAATTGATGACTTTTTGTTGGACCAGCATTTAGTTAATTTGGTAGTAATACTCGATCCAAGAATGTCTTTACTTCGTTCCTTTCGATCTGTCTATGAAAAATACTCAACTCTGGCCAAGTTATATCTTTGTAGAATCATTGAATAAGAATAAGCTTGCTTGGTACTTAAGCGATCTCACTTGTCCTGAGTGTGTGTTTTTTTGTTCTCAAATATTAAACTCCATGCAATGTCTTAAGGAACATTTTCTCCCCAACACACATGTTAGAATAGTTAAATATTAAATCACGTCTTCATCTATTAGCTTAAGTTTTTAGAATAGTTGGCAGTGATCCTACAAAATTTCGCATGATATCAAAGTAGGAGGTCCTGAGTTCAAATCTTTCCAAACCTCATTTGCCTTCCCCATTAAATATGTTCACGCTTAATACTAGGCAAAAAGACCAAACTAAGCGTGAGGGGGAAGTGCTAAAACAATTAAATGTTAAACCGCGTCTTTATCTAATAGCTTAAGTTTTTAGAACAGTTGGCAATGGTCCCATAAAACCTCACAACACATACAACTCACCGAGATGAAGTACTGCTTTTGGGTTATAACAATTACTTAAGTTCCTGTATGAACGGATTGCAACATGCTCAACTCCAGAGAGCTCATATGAAAATTCGGAAAAAAAAAAAAAATCACGCGACCGCAAAACGTGATTGAACTAAGTCAGTAGAAATAAGACTCTGCGATCACCATGTGTGCTCATATACACCAAATCGTGAGGAGACATCGAGACAATGTCCACGCTAGACCGAAAACCATTCGATGTTTGTATCCTGGATCCTATTGAACCATTGAGTTATGTTGTTGCTGTGCTAAACTAAATATGTGTGGTCTGGAATAGCAATGGCCAACTGGTCGTGCTTGTCCAGGGACGACACAATTGGACCCATGTCGAGATGAGATAATTAGGAAAAGGAGCGCGCCAGGCACTTTGCTCTCGGGCACTAGCCCGAGTGAAGAAAATGTGTCCATTGATTGGGCTCAGGGCCACATGAGTGGCCAAGGCCTTTGAAGTCGAGGCCACCTAGCCAACTTTCAAAGAAAATCAGAAAATTTCCTAAGAATTAGAGGTCTCTTCCTCTCATTTTCACCTTCATCCCTCTCTCACGATCGATTTCTAAAGAATTTCGACTTTCTAACAAATGTCATTTCGTATGTACCGCCGTGGATCATGTCCGGAGAGTCATCACCATATATGTTGACCGTCCGGTTTTTATTCCTCGTCCAAATGCTGCAAAAAGCACTGCAATATTTTAAAGCTGACAGTCAACCTCTCCCGTTTTCTGTGGATTAGAGGCTAAAAAAGCAACCAGAATATTCGACTCCGAAACTCTCACCGCCCAACATAGATATCTGAAACGAACGACATCTGCTTTGTTTAGACTTCTCCTTGATACATAATGAGTCACAAATTAGTGTTTGAAACTGTTCTTTCACATGTTTCTATTCTCCTCTTGCTTAGAAATGGGCAACAAGCACAACATTGGAGGAAAAAGCTGTAATGTCCTCGAGTAGTAAGAGAATTGTATTAGTGTCGTCGACCAAGTATTTTTCTTTCCATATCGAAAATGGTGTTTTTTTCTTATTGTTTGGAGAAAATAATCATATTTCACTGGGAAAATCAAATAGAATTTTTTATGAGATTGTCATCATACGGAGGTGCCATCTTTTTAGCACAGAATATTCTCATATGTCTCGGCAAAGTGACGTGTCACTTGTCCCGATAATATGAAATACACCTTATATTCCACGAGATATACTCCATTCCAACTTTCCCTAGACTTACCCAACATATGAGGTAGCGATCGTCGTGAATTAAGAGCCTATATCCATGAATCACGGGTTGTTACGTAAGATAGTTATGGAAACTGCCA